GGCGTAGGCGCCCCAATCGTCCTGCACGAAACGATCGCGTCTACAGGCATTCAAAAACCAATTTTAGTCATGGTTCAGTCACCTTACTTGTCCGCAACAAGAATTGTTGCTATCTACCCAACTCACCTTGCCGCTTGCCCATATCTTGGCTTGAATTGAACCCCTGGAGGTTGAGGTGGGTGGTGAATATATAAGACGCTTGATATGTACTCATAATGAGGGAATTGTGCCTCTACTTTCACCCAGTAGATCGGCCCAAGATGTGACCAACCGCCAAAGCGTTTCAGACCCCCTGCATTTGATCCTCCCTCAAACTTGCCCAAAAGACTTGGAGTCAAAAGGTTGACCTTGTGGAACTGGCTGAGGAAAACCAGAAAACCACGGCAAAAAGGTGAGGGAATTCTGGCAAAGAGGGTCCAATCACCAATTGGTCGATCCCCCAAGACCCAAAGCCAACAGGGCCGTTCAACAGGGTCCCCTAATTTTGGCCACAATCAGAAAGAGATCATCCACCATCGCTCGACCGACCGACTCGGCTTTCCGATCTCCGGCTTTTCGCTGCCGCCGCACCCCAGCCAATCGTAGCACACCAAGCCGTAGCCAAGCTTCCTGAGCTTCAGAAACCAAAACGCTTCCTAAGCCCACATGGCCATGGGTCAAAAGCCCGGTTAGCCCCCAGTGAACATCCCAATCCAACCACTAAAGTACGTTCTAAAATGGGTGAATTCAACTACCCCCAATGGGATCCCATAAGTAAGCCCAAATTGCCACTGAAATTCATGTTTGGTCTTCAAAGGAACCCACAAGACTGCTGCGTTCAATCCGTTTGCCGGCCCATCAAGACCTTTTGCCGGACTCTCCTCCCAATCTATCTTTGTGAGTTTTTGGAGTGGGACTCAGGATGCCACGGCCAGTAGAATGTCGGCTTGTTGCCATCAATTCATCCCAACCCCGGCCGCGCACGGGCACAGCCAGTGAAGCAAGCAGGCCAGCAGGCCAGCCAAGCAAGCAAGCCAGCAAGCAAGCAAAGTCGCCCCCGCAACCTGGTCAGATTCCGACTTTGACCCAGAAACTGACCCAACATAATGAGACCAGTCCCCCACTTCCTGGTCTCAAACAAGTGAGCCCGTGCACATGCTCACGTAAAAGGGGGCTATTGGGAGGTGTCGGGAGTCACTAGTTCCTGATGGGTGCAGTTTCCAAACGGGGATATGGAGAAAACCCGAATTGAATACAGTGATAAACCACATGCCAACTTTGCTCACAGTCTAGATTTGAATGGTTTCTTCTTGAGTTCCCTAAGACTGATCAAAAGAAGATGTCACCAATTCAGTCAGGCTCTGTGGATGGAAATCTCAAGGGCCTGCGTGAAAGCTACGAAATGTTGCCAAAGGCAAGAAACCCGAAACCCGGCCAAGTTTTTGGAGGTGGGAGACCTCCGTATAAAGCAAATAGCAAATGGTGGGACAGAACGAGTCAAGAGTCTCTCCTCCCTCATGAGTTCAGTTTTCCTTTAGTTTCGTATTCGAGCACCCTCATAAAACAGCCTCACATCCCAGCAAAGTTCAACCGAGGTAACTGTATGGGGATTGATAACTATTCCTGGCCCCACAATGACCATGACTATCTTTTCCCATTTGGTGCAAGTCGTATCTTTGTGGTTTCCCTGATGGTCATCCCATGCTTGTGCCGGACCTTTTGATCAACCCCCAATATGGACGCCCCCAGTGAGTCTCCTACGCGCCACCCAAGTCTCGAGCTCAGCACCGCCGCCAGCGGCACGTACTGCTCCAAAGACGCTGCGCTGCCGTGGACCAGCAGAAGCGTCGGCCTGGCGGCTCTACGTGGGATCCTTGGGAACTGCCCGCCCAATGCCCCCAATGCCCCAACCTTTTCCAGGGGGGGTTCCCTTGAAATGGGACCAAGGTTGATTCTTTGCACAAATGTTGCCTCACCCCTGCTGTGTATGTGTGAAACGCTCCCATCCGAAAGAAAAAGTGCTTAAATGGGGTCTCCTTCAAAACTATTGAAGTAGACTAAATCTCCGTTGTGCGAAGAGTGTTTCTCCAGTATCACCCATCGTTCTCTTCAGAAACCACTCATTTCTCTTGCAGGTTAGGGCCTTAAAAAGGCCTGACCTTCTGGTTTTCCTAATCCCCGCTTTGTCGACCCGGCGAGAACCCCAAGGGGCCCCTTACTTCGACCCATGAATCAACCTGTAGAGAAAGACCCATGGGGATCCTTCTGAATACCCGATTGCAACGTTAACCGGCAAGGGTTCTGGAACTGGCAAGCTTCATGTCTGCTGAATCAATTGCCAAAGGGGCTGGAAATAAAAGGTTACCGGTCGGGTGGAACACCGGGAAATCCAAAAGGGCCAAAAAGTCAGTTTGGGCAAGTGAGAAATGACACGGGCAATATGCTAAAGTTTGTTTTCTGTGGCAATAGGTCTACTTGGGTAGAGGAATCGACTTGCACTAGAATACATGGCATGACACCGACGTCTAAGCCAAGGAACACATCTATTTCTAACCCAACTAACCGATCAACAGGCCACCTATAGGCACCGATCAGTTCAAAGGTGTGGCACGACACCCCCTGTGTCAAACAGTCAACCACTCGGGTGCTGTAGATCCCCCAGCAACAAACAAATGCCACTTCTTGCAGAAGGACATCTGAGGGGAATCCAAAACGTTAAAGTCAAAAGATCCAACCCAGCAGTCGAGCCCAGGGCTTCTTCGATCGAGATTCATTCATCCGCCTGCCAGGCTCTGCGGGGCTCTGCAACATCCGCAGTTTCCTCCCCGGTCGGACCTGGCGTGTCTGTTGAGGCGTATTGGGTTTGTCGCAAGAGAAACCACCAAGGAAAACCACATTCTTGGGGGGTGCCCTTTTTTGTGGTTTGAAAGAGAAACCACAAGGAACACCTGACTTGTTGGGAGGTACCCTTCTTTCGTTGTTTGGAAGAGACACCAAAAGGAAAACCATGTTGGGGGTTCCCTAAAAAGACACCCATATCTACAATTTTCCAAGTACAGAACGCAGCTTGCAAACCAAACTAGTGTCCTTTAAAGGGGGGTTCTGCAACCCGGCCTCGCGTATGCATCATGTACCCGCAAAGTACCGGCCCTTCGCGTTGTCCTAACCAAACACTTGACATGGGTTTTTCAAAATTAGGGACCAATTTATTATACTTTTGGTTTCCTTTTGGTTTCCTCGAAAACCCATCCCAAAACGCAACCCTAACAGCATTCCGAGAAAGATCTTGACAAGGGGGACCCCCAAAATGATTGGTCTCCGTTTGCTTCCCCTTTAAGCCAACCCCCAAATTGGGTACCCTCAAAAAAAGAGCACCCACATGCATCAGCCTCCAAACTCTCTTTTGCAACCAACCCTGCGGGTGGGGCCCTATGGACCCATCAGCCCCGAACGAGCATTTGAATTTGTGAGTCCTTCCCTGGCATTTGGTTTGACCCTCCATTTTACAATTCAACAACCTCAAACATCGAAACAATTGGCCAACGAAACGGGGGAAGTTCCCCTTCTCCAAATGCCAAATTCCGCTTCTCCAAATACCAACTCCGTCATACCCTTTAAGTATGGAGTTCACCATATCCAAGTTCATACCAAGTTCGTGTTGAGAACCTTTTCGACCAATACTTTTCCCGAGACCTCTAAAACTTGTTGGTTCTCCTGGAACAAGTCGGGAATGCCCTCGCCATCTCCGTTTCTGTGTTGGGGATCCCCCAACTTCATTCGCAAAACAGATCGTCTTGTTGAAACCAACTTGCAGATGTTCCCACATGGCTTTCGGCTATAAATGTCCATGTTTATTGTTTGCTTCACTTCAAAGTCACCTGGGTAACATACGCAGCATCTATCCTAAGACCGACCCAGGTTAGAAGCAAGCCATACGGAACGGGCGCTTCTCAACATGAAAGAAAGGACGTCTACCCTCCCCCAGACTAACATGGAAGCTCCCAGGACCTTTTTGGAAGACTTGGTTCTATTTACAGAGGCTAATTGGGGGAGCTTCCGGCTGTTAGTCTGAGTAAGTCTACCCCAGTTTGGGCCCTCCGCTTTTCTGGGAATCAACGAGAAGACGCAACTTTCCCACCTCCACCTGCCGCACAAGGCCCAGTAGCTCCCGCCCGCTGCGCCAGGAGAACCCACCCAGGCCCGCCATCCGCGAAATTCCGCGAAGCCGGAAACGCCCAACGGGGTTGGGGGGGAGGAGCCTAGGCGCAATTGCTTTGTTTTTGTTTGTCAAAACCCCTTGAAGCATCCACTTAGCTTTTGGTTGCCTTTGACCTTGTCCTTGATTCTGGGTGGGATGCTTGTTGGACCCCCTGGTAGATGTGGCCTGGGACGTGGGGAGTCACTTTGTATGCTCTACGCTCTTCTGGTCTTTCGGAACTCGGCATGTCCGCGACTTCGTGGAGGTCGTGAACATCCATGGCTCGAGTACAAGACGTACGCAGCTCCATTCCGGCTGGGCGTCTGCATGAGACCGGAAGGGGAAATATCACCTATATAGCCTGTATAGCCTGTACTAAGTGGTAATGAGAAACTAAGCAGTAGATTCGTGAAGCGATATCGGCGATAATGATACCAGCATGATCCAGCATGCGTGTTTTATGTAAATCGCATGCGTGATCGACTGATACAAAGCTCTGTCTGAATTCGTAATCTGACCTTGGTCGTACAATGCCCAAAACAGCCAAGGCGAAGCGAGGGACTCATCAGGTCACCTGACTGCCTAGCTGTGCGAGTGAAGGGGCAAGGAGACTCCCCGCAACTAGCAACGTGGCAACGCAACGAGTGCCCACACACAAGGTTGAACCTTCCAAAGCCAAGCCAAAGCAGAAGCATCCGTCTCTTGACGGTAAGTGTCAACAAAGGGGCAACGCAAAATGCTGTTGCCTTTCTTGTGGTTTCCCTTCAAACCAACCCCTCAAAAGATACGACTCCGCCCATCCCAGCGAATCGAGAATCCGAACCTGTGCGCGGGGTGGCTGTGTAGACAGCAGCGCCCCACGATTCAGTGAAGGCTGGGCGCGGAGATGCGGCCAGCTCTACCGAAAATGTACCCTAGTTTTTGGAGGAGGACCCTCCGTCTGCTATTTTTCCCCCACATTCCCCCACTTTCTGCTGGAACCTCGAAAAACCCAGCCCGTAGTCGACACTCTTTTTGTCGGACACCTCTTTGGGGCTTCATGTTGATTTGGGGTGTAGTAAGTGGCTAGTACCCTGGCTAGACCTTCATGATGCTTATTCAGGGAAAATATGCTGAGCGGCTTATTTGCCAGGAGTATTAGCGAGATATTTGACATGGGAGGGTCATCCCAGCTGTTTCCACTGAGACAAACAACGCGGATAGCTCTGTGGAAACCAAAGGGGCTCACAAAATGCCGCAATCCATGTCGGTGGCACAAAAAAGTCATGCGCAGAACGGCTCGACAGGCAAGAGCAACACACGCAACATCGAAGTTTGCAACATGGGCGCGTCTTTCCTTGAGTGTGCGTTCTTTGCGCTGCTTGAAGAGGAATCTCACGGGAAACCCACCCCATCTTAGTGGGTTCCCAATTTGGGCCATGGGTCAAAATTAACCCGAAAAAAACGCAGCCTTTATTCCTTGGTTCCATTTACCGGGGCAGCCCATGTTGGCATTTCGGGGTTACCCGATGTTTGACCCACCACTTGGAGAAGCCATCGGTCCTCCGAGGCCTCCGGGCTCTGAGGTCCGGGCGGAAGCAAACTTGGCGGCGCCACCCGCCTACGAGGCGGGCACCGGGCACATCCCGAGTGGACCAAATGTCTCACTGAGAATTCAGATGCCTTTTTCGAATCTGAGAGGTCAAGCGCGCACCCTTACGTCCAGATTCCCTTTACAACGGAGGGACCTAGAACAGATGCTGAACCAAATGGAAGAACACTGGTGTTTTTGTTGAGGATACCCCCCCTTTTTGTTGGCTTTTTCTGGGGAAACCAAAAGCAACAAGAACCGGCAACTGTCCAAATCACTTTGCGAGGTGAAAGTGGCGTGATCTCTGGGCCCAAAGAAACAGGCCGGGCCGGACCTCGGCGGCCTGTGCCGCTGCTGTCAGCAAGGCGCCCGGCGCCATGGAAGGCCTCGGAGTCAACCCCATCCAGGTCCATGGCACATGCTTGATCTCCTTTAACAATAGAACAGCAAATTGAACATCGTACAAGTCTTACACGAATCGTTTCACGATCAAGCTCATTCATCTGCTGAGGTAAAGCGAGTCCTGCGTCAGGAGTTGCACACTCCCAAATGCACAATGGGCGCATAAAGGGCTTGTAGCCAGATTGAACACGGGGATACTAAAGGTACCTAGCAGCACATGTATCATCCCCTTGATTGGATCGAGTTTAGGATGGAGGTGTTCATGCTGTTTCCCTTTATCGTACGTATGTTGGCACAGGGGACCCTTTTCGTCCTCGAAAAGAATCGGACAACTGCGCTTCAAACGGTCGACTGTAGTTGTATGAAGATGCGTTGGCTTCTGTCGTGAGCCACGGTCGAAACTACGCAAACTCCCAAGAGGACATGGGAAAACAAGCTTTCCGCATGTCTTCTAGAAATGTCGAAGAGTGGTTGGTGGACATACATCCGCGCCTAATCGATGTCCAACAACGCACCCCCAACTACAATGCACACGCATGTATGGTTCTTACTGCTAAAATTGTCACTACAATTCCCACGAAGCCAGGAAGCACCCTTCTTACGATTATGGAAGTGTACGGTTGCGTTGGAAGACTGTCATTTTACAACAGCCTGTCCTCTTGTATGATTGTTTGAAAGAGGGTATTTTGATGCCCGTTCTCAGTAGAAAGTGGGTCATATCCCTAGTTAAGTTCGTATCACCCACTCGAAAGACTTGTTAACCAGAAATATCAGCCACCTACCTGGCGTGGGTCGCTCATGCAAATACCACCCTGACTAGAAACATGGCAAAAAAGGCCTGTCGCTGGGGCGGTCATCTAACCACCGCCTGACCAACACCACTTAATTACCTGGCCTGGAATACCGTGTGACAAACAACATGGCAAAAAATGGCTAATGCCACTTAGTTGGCATGGGACAGTCAGCCAAGTACCACCAATTGGCGCCATGGTAACCATTTCCAACACTATCCAACACTACTTACCTATTGTGGGGCGGCCATCCAAGTACTTGACAAGAAACCTGCACAAATTGCCAACGTTGACTGGGTGTTAAAATGGGGCCTGGAAAAACGCATGAAACTATCCATCTCTTGTTGGTTTCCTTTTCGGAAAAAATATGCCTGGACCCTCAACCTACCCCTACAAAAGGAAATCAACTCACAACGTTGGGGCAATCCCCTATCTTTTTGGGTAGTTTGAAGGTCCGAACCAGCACCCATTCTTGCGGTGAAATTCCGCTTTGCGCCCCGATCGCGAGTCCCGGGCGTCAGTGGGGCCAGGCCCCCCGGGGAGTTCTCCGGCGGAGGCGGGGCCTTCCGAGCGCCCGCTTGCCGCTTGCTTGCCCGCGCGCGGCTCGAGGCGTCGGTATTCTTTGGGCTTTCTCTCAATGGGGCGCATTCGGGGAAACCGGGTCAAACATCACCAGGCGGAGGCTGTCCAAGTACCGAAACGGACATGGGACATGGGCTCAGATCTGGGCCGTCCTCAGATCCCCTGCGAAAAGTGACTAACTTTTGGCAAATCAACAAAACAGCTAAGGGGACGGATGGGAATCGCAACCGCCAACAGGTGGGGTGTCTTTGTTGGGGGGCCACAAAAGTTGGTTGCCTTTTGGTTTCCCTTTGAAACCACAAACAACAACCCCAACAAGGATTTTGGTGTTTGTTGTAGTGTCCCTTTCAAACTACCCAAACGAGGGTTCCCCTAAACAATGACCGACAGACCTGTGTCAAAACACCTTTTTTGGGTTGGTAAGCATGGTCAATGACCCCTTAATAAAGATCTTAGACGACTATTGTAAGACCCATGACCATGAGCCACACAAGGGGTTTCGACCATGGCATGTGTGTGTGTGCTTTTTTTCAGGGTACTTTGTTGGGGTGGAATTTAAAGGGAAGGCAAGAGGAAAACCACGATTTGTTGGGTGCATCCCCTATTCCCCAATAGCAACACCGCACCAAAGCCACTGGCGAAGGTACCCAATGCCATCCATTTTACTGCAAATAGCAGATCTTGACCCAAGCCCAGTGCCTTGTCATCATCCTCCGGCAGCCCTCTCCTCGGAGAGAAAGGGAGGCAGTGGGCAACGAAAAAAAGGCGGGGGTGTTCCTTTTTGTGGGGCTTTAAAGGAAACCAAAAGGAGCACCGAAATCCATTTGGGGGGGTCCGCTAAAAAAAGCACACACCTAGGCCTCCAGCACACAGATTTGCCATGGCCAAGCAACAACCACTCCACGAGGAACCTATTCTGTGCTTCCCTTGACTCGAGCGCCTTGAGCGCTGTAAGACCGGGCCACCTTGCATTTCTCTATGCCAGAGTCGTTTTCCTAGAGGTGATGCGAAAACAAACTGAACAACAAAAACAGAGGTGATTCACTGGGACGAAAATCTAGCGGACCCCGGTCAAAGGAGGGGGGGTTGTTCCAGGAACCCGTGATGTGAAAAATCAGCTTGAAGAAGCGACCTCCGGATCCAAGTCTGCCGGGCTTTCTACGGGTTCTACGGCAGTCACCCAAAGGAGATCTGGGGCCAGCGCGGAGGGCCAGACGGAGGCAACAAGGGCGGCACGGGGCGTTGCAGGCACCTGACGACCAGGGAGGGGGGGAGGGGGGGGAGAAGGGGGGCAATGAAATGCGGCATACGGACTTCAATCTCAGAACCCAGTGAGCATGGAAAAACGGGCACTACTGGGCAACTGGGAATGGCTGTGGCTCAGAAACATGTACCAAAGTCGCACCTGGGTAAATGGAACCAAAGACTAAACCTGCGTAGCCCCAGCTTCTTATTTTGAGCCACAGCCAAATGGTCGAGCTGCAAGGGGAAGCAAAAACTTTGAGGCCACAAATACCAATGCCAACCCCATGTCAGGTTCTTTTGGCCAAGGGACTTTGGGGTGCGGGCCCCAAAACGGAGGTGACCGGAACTTTCGCAAATGGAAGAGGGTACCGGGCCTGTGAAATGGGGCCGTCTTGAATGGTCCAGACTTGTTAAACGGACATCATGCTCAATTCCTTCAAACAAGGACTAACCCTCGACCGGGTGCTTTGCGGCCATTCTGCAACCGCACTCTCCACAAAGCAGATTCAATCCACCATTGCGCAAATCCCGCATTCAAATATTCAACAGAGTTCCATACTAAAGTTTGTCCCCCTTCAAGGCAAACGGAAACTCATGTATACATGATCCAAGAGGTGTGATAAGCTTCAATCCCCAACAAGGGGAAACATAATCTTCAAAGCACAGCAAATCAAACTCGAAGATGCTTTCCACTACCCCACACACCCAAAGATTTTGTGGCATATACACAATATTGCGAATTCAAAGGTTACATGCCCCCCTTGCGTTTGGAGCACAGGTGTCGCTTTGGAAAAATAGATGGCCCCGGTAAATGGAACAAAACCCCTCTAAACCACCAGCGCCATCTATTTCAGCCAGGACAGATCGGAAGCAATCTGATCAACATGAGCCACGGCGTCGTCGGCCTCCCGCCGACATTCCCACTGGGGGTGGACGGCAAGCTCATGGCCATGCGCGCGGGGGCCAGATGCCCGCCCTGGCATAGCGAGGCAGAGGCCGAGCGCTCGGAAGTCGGGTGGCTCGTCTTTGTCTTTTCGGGGAGTCAAAATGGATTTTGGATTTCTGTTGGTGTCCCTTGAAAACCGCTACCATTGGGTAGAAACTCGAGAAAAAGAAAAAAGAAGAAACAACAAAACTCAGTCATCATTCGCTTCTTTAGGAGCCCTGGTCGAAATTCCGGCCCAATCAAAGGAATTTATGCCTGTATCACCCAAACAAAAAGTTGAAGTTTTGACCACGCAAACTGGTGACAGGTTTTCCTCAAAATGCACCTTTGCAGACCCAACCTCACTATGAAACACCTGCCAACATGTTGCGTCAGCCGGGCAGGGTGCCGCCAACAAGGAGTGTTTGTCCATTTTTTGCGCAGCAACCTGCTCGACGGCACGGGAGAGTGGGGAGGGTGGGGAGGGGGGTCATTTCGAAATGGTCACATGAACAGCGGACCAAAGTTACACCATGGCCAGCGCTAGCCGCACTTCCCATCGCAAGCACGGTTTTTGGGGCTAGGCGGCAGCATGAATGTTCTGTCCGGGCTGAGTTGCACGCCAACGTCAAGTTGGATGCTTGACAAGAGCCGTTTTCCGCGTCCCAACATGTTGTTTCAAGTCTGCGACAGGTACGAATTTGTTTCAAACCGGGGGCCTGAGGGCTTGGGACCACGTTGACGTCCGAGTGAATTTGACGCGCGAGCGTCCAAGCACCATTCGCTTTTACCTCAAGTGCCCCCCGATGGAAAAAACGACTCCCTTTTTGGGATTGGCCGTAAGGGGAACCCACCCCGACTGGTGTCCTTGAGCAATCGGTGTTTGGTCATACCAACATAATTTATTTAGCGGCGCATGATCCCAAGCTGAGCAAGCCATTGCGGACCACCTGGACTTCGTGCCAGGCACAAGGCCCGTCTGTTTGACATAGAAACGAAAACATTGAGGTCACCGAAACTGGGGTGTTGCGTGTTGCGCTGATAGTGTCACTCAAGAGGCTCTGGGTAGGAAGGCTTTAAAACTGATTTGGCAGCGCCCCTTCACATTCTCAAGGCACCTTGGCTACTGTTCGGAGCTTTTTTGACTCATGATCGAAAGCAGCAAACTGCTGGGTGTGTCTTTCTTGGGGGGACACCCCCCAAAATGGATCTCGGTTCTCCGTGGGCTTCCCCTTTTAAACCACCAAAGCAGGGCACCAACTCTGAAAAAGGACTGACCCGCTGCCGTCGCCCGCCTGTGGGGTTGGCGGCTGACTGAAAGCCTGGGACATCCGGGGATGGTGGGGCGGGCACTGCCTCGAGCTCTGAAGATGTGGCTGTGGGTCAAAAATGGGCACCCAAAATGGAACCCCCCTGAAAAGAACATGGGACTAAAACCTGCGGTCCTCTGGTGGCTTAATTTTGTCCCAGACGACAAAATCCGTTCGCACCACTTTGAAATCATGGTTGAACCCATTGTTTGTTGATATTTACGGGGGAATAGAATCATTCCAGGGATTCTGAGGTGGTGCGAAATGGATTTCGTCCATCCACACTATCAATCCACTTTCCTGAGGTCAGAACAACTTTTTCACCCTTACCCCGAAGCAAGATGACAACCTCTAGATTTGATTGAGTGTAAATCCCCCAAAGCATGCCCAACCATGACAGCTGGACGGTTTTTAGGCATTAATCACACTTCGCCGTGAGACGTTTTGTTGGCGAACCATTGTGCCACCTCCCCTGCTGCACAACTCTGTGGGGAGAAAACGGTCGCCAACGTGACAGGCCGTGGCCTCGCAAAAATCCCTAGCTGTGACAATCCACCCGGGATGGCCAGAGACCCAGAGACCCCATTCCGCAGTTCACAGGGAATTCATGGAGACTGGCGCGATAGGGAATGACCCAGTTGAGGGGAATGAACCGTTTTAGGATTGAAAGGAAACCAGAAGGGGATGGTTTCTGCGGTTCATTCCAACTCCTTCCCTGACAACCCGCAAGTCATTGGTGCTGAACCACTGCCACCCAAATCGCAAAAGGTGACGAGATTGCGACTCATCTGCAACAAGGCAAAAGCGCCCAGGCCCACGAGATATGGGTATGGGTCAAATTTTAACCACCAGGGGGACCGCAGGTTGTAGTCCTTGGTTCCATTTACCAGGGGTACCCATTTTTGACCCACAGCCATATGTGGACCGAAGTGCTCGGTGAATCATGACAGCTCTCGTGAAAAGCGTCCTCTTCCCAAGTTTCAGCCAACCTCGGACCCCCCATTTTTCGCCGGTAGATGATGGAAGACCAAACAGCAAAATTCCAAACCGAGCCAAGGCGCCGCCAGCGTCATGCCAAAACCTGGCAAGCGCAACGGCGTAATCAATCCGAAGAAACGAGCCGTGCGCCATCTTCTTGCGCAACTCCTGCTTCTCTTTACAAGGATGTGTGTATGCCTGCTTTTACAGGGTACCCTTTTGAAAGGTGCACTTTGAACCCAATAGGAAAGCCGTTTTTTGAGGGTTCCCAAAGCCTATACGGGTCGCGTGTATTAGCCGTGTATCCTTTCGCAAAACGCATACGGTTCCTTTTCAAGGGCGGGGCCTGAGTCCCGAGCGGGTGAGTCTCGTTCAGCAGTGCTACTGAGGGACGAACTCTGCTTCTCTCACCGTTCAGAAACCATCATGGTGGAAACCATAATGTTTGTTGGTATTTACAGTGGCATCATCACGAGTGTCGTAGGTGGTGCGAAATGGAGTTCGCCCATCCATAGTAAGGCTAACACTCCTGGGCCATAGTAATTTCCTTCTGCAAATGCTGTAAACTTGCTGGTTCCCCTGATCAGCAAATGAGAAAATCAAGGGCTCCTTCCCTTCTTCCTGCGGGGAGCAAAAAAAAAGGAGCTCGCCCCTTTTTCTGCCATCAAAGTCAGCCGCAAGTAGGTTTCATTGTCAAGCCACCGGTCAGTTTCTGACTACAAGATCCGTGGTCAGCATGCTGACAACATCCACTTCGCACCAGTTGGGATCGGTAATCTATCTAATCTTGCAGGTTCTCAGGAAATGAGGGAACGATTCTTGTAAACTTCCTGGTTTTCTTTGGACCAAAAGCCTGGGTTCATACCACATCTGCCGAGCACCAAGTAACGACCTTGGATCCCGAAAGCCGAAGGCCTTTCGGGCTGTCCAGTCCCGGTGGTGCGTTCGGGACTCGGAAGGCGAGGCAAAGGGGGGAAGCATTGGAACAGTCAGCGAGGGAAATAAAGACATTCTCCAAAAAGAATGGTTTGTTTGAAGTGGAAACTGATCTTGACTGGTCGAAACTTCTGTTTTGCTGAAAAGCCCCAAGAAGCGAACGTAAACCTGGGAACATGGCTCCAAGCTACATGAAGCGATCCCGAACCAATCACAAGGTCCTGACATCGGTCATGGCTCAAAGTTCCCGAGGTTCTTGGGCATCACAATCTCACTTCCTGGATTGGCCCACGTTTTGTCTCCCCCAGAGGCTCCAATTCGATTGATTTTAGGGCCTCCAAGCCACCTGGTTTTGAGACCCCCAACCACCGAAGGGTGTCCAATGGAGAGGGGTCGGGTCTTCCATTGAAAGCCAAAGCCGATCGGAGCCTCTGGGATTACAAATCAACATACTGTGAATGGACGAGCTCCTGCACCACCTCAGAAACCCTGGAATCCTGGAATGATTTGATTCCCTTGTAAATACCAACAAACGTTATGGTTTTTTCACCCATTGTTTTTTAGGTGGTGCAACATGGATTTCGACACCATAGCCGTCTCCCGGTCTGGTAGAACAACCTCCAGGTAGAACTGGTCTCCAATTGCCGTCTCCCGAATTGCCCTCAGCGCCAGGCCCAGCCCCGGCGGTGGGCGCATGAGGCCCGGGAGCATGGCGTCCTCCCAAAATCCCTTTTGATCGTTTAAAGTGGGGAGACTCAGTGAGAACCCTTTTTGGGGAAGACCATTTTTAGCGGGGCAGCCACCAAAAAAACGGGGAAAAGGGTGCCACTGAACAACTGAGGGAGTTTCCTCTGAAAACCAGACCAAAACTGGGCTCTCCGTTTTCAGATCTAAAAGTGATATGAACTTGTGAGTGAAAGGAAAGCCCAACCACCCGTTACCATCAGGAACCGGCTGCGGAACCAGCCAGAAAAGAGCGAAATCCATGTTTTGGAGAAGCCGGTCAACAAAAAGTCGCGGGGTGGCGGAGGCATCTCTCCAAGACCAGAAGAGAGATGGGCACAGTCTGTGCGAATTCGGCGTTGGTGAACTGAACCTGAGGCACTGGACATCGGGATTTGTTTTCAAGAGTGGTTCCTTGTTTTGGGGAGCCAGGTCTTGGAGTTTGCGGTTTTCCCCTCGAACCGACCAGAACCGCGTAGAGAGACCAATGCAGTAAAACCAAAACTGGCTGGTGCTTGAGCACGTCCAACTTCATTTGCTCGTGGTGGCAAAACTGCCAGTCCAATGACCCCAACTACTGGCCACATGACAACACCAGTATCAAAGTCACCCCCCAAGTAGGTTAGAGGGAAACCACCAACCAGCCAACCAGCTTCTGACTTTGATAACCATTTCTCAAAGAAATGATCCACCAACGGCTCCCCAGATTGACTTTCCTCGTCGAAGCGAGGTTTCCTTCGAAAGGTGTCCTTGAGGTCTTGTGCTTCCGCCAGCTTGCTGGTGCCATGCCCCCGGCAGCCCCTGGCCGAAATCCCCCAGAAACCTGTTGGAATGGATCTTCATATCCAGGATCTTCATAGAATCCATAGGAATTTCTACAGGAAACTTGCCAACACATGTTGTCCTATAGGATTTATTGGTTTTCGCTGGGTTCTTAGAGATCTGATTGGATCTGGGCAACTTACAATTTCAAGCGAAAGGAAGGGATCCTCAAGGGAACCTTGGGTGACGTCACACCCGACGTTGCTATAATGTCTAATGGATGAAACCCTACGAATCTCCAAAAACTGTATGGACAAAAGTCGGCAACAGTTGGATGAACTCCGACTTGAATACTGGTTGACAAACCACCAAGCGCGAAGTGGATTTTAGCAGGAAATAAGGTCAGGTGGCGTCCCCAACCCAGCATGTGCTAGACCAAGATTGCATCCGCGAAGCAAATCCAAAAGCCCCGACTTAACAGCGTAAGGGCCAGAAAGTTGCAGCGCTGTTGCTGCAAGAAAGGCCTGCAACTCGGGTGCAACCCAAATATGTGCGGGGATGTGAAGATCTGGGAGACCCAAAGCCTTCAGCTATTCTCTGACCCTCCAAAACAGAAAGAAGGATATTCCCGACTGACTGGAAGCTTTGGGACCCAAGTTGCGGACGTCGTACAAAATACGTGGAGATTGATGCAAAACAAACTCTCCAACACGTCCAAAGCTTTGATGTCCTCTAGCTGGAACAACCATACGAGGAATCAAGCAAGGGACTCCTCTGAAAGGAGCCACGACGTGGGTCGCCAAAATTTGCTCCGCGTCGCCACTTGAGTCACAACCAAAACCGATCACTAGGCTCCACCCACAGTGCAAAGAGTTAGAAAGGCGGCGACGGCGCCCATGGTCAACCTTCATTTCCTCGGGTGTTGAGGACCTGGCTCACTCGGAAAAGTGTCCCTGGCAACGCTACTGGCTTCTTGCACTCCTTGCCCCCCCCCCCCTGGCAAAACCCGCAAAAACGGCCTGCCCCTACTGCGCCGCTCGTGTGGAAGGTGACAGAACCTGCATCCGATTCATCGACACGGTTAAGTGGAACAGCATCCGGGGAGGTGAAACATCTAATTAGTCGGGTGAAAGATAGGAAACTGGGCTCTCCGTCTTCAGATCCCCTGCTAACAGTGTTCTCACTTGTGGGTTAAATTGAAACCCAAGTCAGCAACTAAAAAAAACAAAAAACAAAACACTAAAAGAGAAAGACGACCTGCCGTCAACTTCCGGCAGTCGCTTTTGAGTTCAGCTCAAAGGCACAAATCGGCCCCCTCTTCCTCACTTCCGAATGGCCAAACCCCAACCCACCTCACACCCGGGCCCCTTTTGAGCGTCCCAAGCCCGTGATCCCAAAATGTGAGTCCAGCTCATCCCAAGCTCGGGCCGACTCAAATTCAGCCCCTGGCTGGCAGTTGATGCCGTTGCGGCAGCGGTTCTGCAGGCAAATCGGAGGGGGGGAAGTAAGATGACATCCTAAGCACCATCTACATACTGTGGACGAAATCCACTTCGCACCACTTGGGATAGATGAACCCCAAGAAATAATGGTCGATAAACCTTCTACCAACTGCTGCGAAGTGAATTGGTCCACGCACAGAGTCCTGGCGAATCATAGGGGAACCGTAAATGGTCATTGTGAGAACTCAACATGTATCCACTTCTCGGTCATCCTCAGATGCCCGGCTAAAAGTCTAACAGGTGAAATGGAGACCACCACTAAACCCCAAAAAGCTACCAAACTAAAGGGATGGCTGGGACCACTTGATTGTTGGAACCCATCAAGACACGTCAAGAAAAGCACCCGTGTCACTTTTCGAGGATACCCTTGCGTCGTTGAAGCATTTCAACCACTCGTCTGGCACACTTTGTGTCGATGCGCGTGAAACAAAGCGTTGAACTAATTCCTCGGCTGGTTTCATTGGCGTGGCACAAGCCAGGCAGCCAGGCGCTTCGCCCGCACCAAACCACGCCGTGTGCACTCTGGTCTTGGTTCTGGCCCTGAGCAAGTGTTAGAAGGTATGACCTAAATATTGCAAGTAAGGGAAGAAGCTAAGTTATAATATATATATATATATAGACACTCGTATTTTACCCTGGTCTTGTGGTTGACTATGGTTGGTTTCCTTGCAATACTTTGAGCATCATCACAATCGCGTCAGCTGGAGTCAGTGACGGTATAAGTTTGTGACAGGACTCAGGGCCCCCAATCGCGGCCAAATCAGGAATGTCAACCAAACGAGGTCCCTTTTGCATCCCAGTGGATAGCTGTTTTGGGGGGGAGAGACGCCGGGGATTCTGGGCACAAGCATGAATCTTAGGGCATTGGGATGCGTCTGAACATGTTTGAGGTGCGCTACGACAATTCATAGCCATGCTGTGTGGATGGAACCCTCATAGCGGCGTAAACCACCTACCAAGTGAAGTGGATTTTGAGCTTCAGCTTGTGACAGGGCAAGGCCCAAAGGATCCAGAGGACTCTCGCTAGTGACACAAGAGCGCGAAGCCCGAAATGTTCGAACACCCGGCAACTCCCCAAACTGGAAAATCAAGGGAAGACTATCTGTCTTCCCTCCCTTTCTCCTGTGTTTGCGTTTTGGACACGCTTGTAAAACTCACAGAGGGAAGCCAACTTCGTCTTTTGAGGGTCTTCGCCGCACGGGCCCGACTCCGCATTGGCACCCGAATGATTCTACGGGGAAAAAAAACTTCACTCAGAGCACACCTGGCAGCGGACAGCTTCCGGCCGGGTTTGTCAAAGGGAAGCCTCAAAGCAGCTTCCAGTTGATGCCAGCTTCCAAAACTACCCTCGATGTCTTTTTCGAACACAGGCCAGAAGGATCTTGTTTGGGAGGGTTTTTGAAGCTGGCCAACCGGAGACAGAGCAGGTAGCGTACCCCGGTTTCACCCACGAGAACCCTAGGAACGCGCCAGGCAGTTTGGCTTCTGTGTCATCTTGTTCAAAGACAAAGCTCAAACAGCTGTTGTCCTTTGCCTGTCAAAACCGGCTGCAAGGGGCGCCGTTCTTGTCTCTCCCAACCATACCAGAGAGTCTAAGAGTGTGTGCGCCAGGCAAAATTGCGTCCCCAAGCTCCATGTCACTGTACCACTGAGCAGTACATGTTGCCAAAACGGTCTTCAGACATGCACTAGCTGTTTTGTGGTTGAAGCCCGTCTCCAGAAACGCCCTTATTTGAGATGTTCAATCATGGCCATCCAAAAATCCCAAAGTGGTGTCCAAATGCTTCCCAACTACGAGTCATACCCACCTTCAAAGGGCGATTCCTTGCACAGGCCTTTGGCTTCCCAGGAAATCGGCTTGAAATTTGCCGGACCCTGGCTTAGGGAACTGAATTGTGGGCATGTTTCTTGCCTTTTTTGTCCGCCGACATTGCTCGGCGTGTCGGATACCAAAGAGAGGACTGTTGGATACCTAAGAGAGGATAGAGGATAACCCCCCCCTTAGTCCTTTCCGGGACACGTCAAATACGCATGGTTTTTCGGTCGCCCCCTCCCCCCCCCCCCACCCTCCCCCTCCTACCGCGCGGCAATTTGATGACGTTCCACTAAACGTAGTCTTCGGGGAGCCGGTGTCGCAAAACAGGGGTCCCAGGCTCGATTCCCCCTGCCGGCTTTTTTGCTGGCTTGGGCTTCCTACATCCTTTTGCCGAAAATCTGGAAAACTCCATGTTTTTGGACGTCTTTCATACATTCATCCATTGCATTCATTTCATACATTACATTCATTACATACATACATTACATACATACATACATACATACATACATACATACATACATACATACATACATACATACATACATACATACATTACATTACATACATACATACATACATACATACATTACATTACATTACATTACATACATACATACATACATACATACATACATACATACATACATACATACATACATACATACATTACATACATACATACATACATACATACATACATTACATACATACATACATACATACATACATACATACATACATACATACATACATACATACATACATACATACATACATACATACATACATACATACATACATACATACATACATACATACATACATACATACATACATACATACATACATACATACATACATACATACATACATACATACATACATACATACATACATACATACATACATACATACATACATACATACATACATACATACATACATACATACATACATACATACATACATACATACATACATACATACATACATACATACATACATACATACATACATACATACATACATACATACATTACATACATACATACATACATACATACATACATACATACATACATACATACATACATACATACATACATACATACATACATACATACATACATACATACATACATACATACATACATACATACATACATACATACATACATACATACATACATACATACATACATACATACATACATACATTACATACATACATACATACATACATTACATTACATTACATTACATTACATTACATTACATTACATTACATTACATTACATTACATTACATTACATACATACATACATACATACATACATACATACATACATACATACATACATACATACATACATACATACATACATACATACATACATACATACATACATACATACATACATTATACATACATACATACATACATACATACATACATACATACATACATACATACATACATACATACATACATACATACATACATACATACATACATACATACATTACATACATACATACATACATACATACATACATTACATGCATGCATGCATGCATGCATGCATGCATGCATTGCATTGCATTGCGTTACGTTACGTTACGTTACATTACATTACATTACATGCATACATTACATACATACACACATACACACATACACGCATACATACATACATACATACATACATACATACATAAATACATACATACATACATACATACATACATACATACATACATACATACAGACAGACAGACAGATAGACAGACAGACAGACAGACAGACAGACAGACAGACAGACAGACAGACAGACAGACATACATATATATATATGCATACATACATACCAGAGAGGGAGACTGGGCATGGAGAGGCTTGGGGGGATGGGGAGGATGGGGAGCAGAGGGAGGGAGAGAGGACGACAGAACACACAAGGGAGACAAGGGAGAGAGGCAGAAGGAGAAAAGGGAGAGGACAATGTCGGCGGACTGAGCCGGAGGCTCTAAAGTTTTCTCTGTTTTTTGTTTTGTTTAATCTGTTTATTTATTTTTTCGCTACCCCGGCCGATGAAGGACGCTTCCACCAGCTCGTCGTCTTCCCTGATTTCCTCGCGCGGGCGGAGGGAAGGCGCGCCGAGAAAATCCCGAGTTGTGCATGTGCCATTCGTCGCTGGCTTCAGTCACTCGTTTTGGCCGCTCAAAATGAAGCGATCTGGTCGGACACATGTCTAGGTTTGTAGCCAAAAGAAACCAGTGCCATGTTCAAACACCCACGGAATAGTCAACATCTCTGATGCTTAAACCAGGCAGTCCCCAAACGGCAACCTAGTTGTCCCTTTTCTGGGGGTTGATCAAAAGGTCCTTCACATGGGGTGACCATTTTGGAAACCACACACAAAGATGACATTCACCACATGCGGAAACTTACTCATGGTCAAACTGGGGCCGTTCATGGAATATTGCTCAATCCTATGGAGACATGAATCTAACCTTCTTTTTTTCTGGCGTCTATTGGGCCTATTGTTAACCCCATGTTCATCAACCCCAGCATATTTATAGGGGGGTGCCGTTGGGTTCAGTAGGGAATCAGACCACTTTTGGAGGGGCCCCCACCCCCCTTTTTCGTAAAACTGGTGAATCACTTTCGGTTTTTAACCACGGCGTCCAAAGAAATCCCAGTGGATCGATCCTCTTAGCGCAGCTCACGCGTTCAGTCCTGGAAGCCCGGCGGGATCTCCTTGCTCTCCTCCTTAGTAAGTCGTCCATCTGTGATAAGGACAAAGTTGCATTGGTGATGGTTTCTGGGTGTATGGCAATTTGCCAGCATGATGATGACGATGGTGATGACGAAGCTTTAATACTCGTGGATAGTTGCGAAATCCATTTCGCAGCACTACGCCAGAGTTTCGCGTGTGGTGCAGGACTTTGTCCGTCCACTGGATCTTTAGACAAACCCATGCTATGATACATACTGTGGATGGACAGAATCCACAGGTACCGGGCGTGGATTCTGTCCACGGTGGAAGAATTACACACACTATTGCCTATGACATGTGACCTTAAAGCACCAAATCCACGACTCTCTGGGCGCAAGACCTGGAAGGCGGAGTTTGCGTCTGCGCCTTGGAGTCAAACGCTC